TATCTATGCTAAGGACCTCTCCAATTAATGTGGGTTAAATCATGCAAACAGGTAGCCTCTTGTAATGTTTGTTAATGCTTGCAGGCCAGTAACTAACTGGTCTGCCCAATTATTGCCTAGGGATAAAAACCCAGGAAGTTTTGAATGCCCTCTCAAATGTTGAATATGAATAGGGGCTCCCCACCCTTCTAATAGGCCCTTAAGGGTAACCATAAGAGGAGAAATAGGGTTTTCATCCAGCTTAATATGTGCCTGGGGAATATGAGGGAGCAAGTTAATCACATATAGGCTATCAGAATACAAATTAAAGGGTTTTTGAATGTCCTGAAGGGCCATAATTACGGCCAGCATTTCTTTATATTGTGCTGACCCTTGACAAGGTTGAAATCTTTGTTAGCTCGGGGTCTTTTGTTGCTCCTCAAAGGCTGCATAGGCAGAGCCTGCTTTACCTCCATCAGTAAAAACATGGAGCGTGCCAGGAATAGGCGTAGGAGAAAATAGAGATGGCATTTTGAGGGGAAGTCACCATAACATGGCAGTCCATTTGAATGGCCCATAATGGCAGTCAATTTGGCCTAGAAACCCCTCCAAGGAGAGAGCAAGATGAGCATTGGCTCAAGTGAGCCACTCAACTTCTGCCATCCGAAAAGGAAAAACAATGGAGTGCGATAGAGCACCAGCCTTGAAATGGGGGGGGGGGGGGGGGGGGAGAGCCAAGCAAGGGCTAGAGGCCCTAAATTCAATTTCTAATACTGCTGTGCCCACACACACGCACACACACACTTGAGTCTTTAAAATTGGCTGTCACAGCCATGGGGAAGAGCAGGTTCTGAAGCACCAGAGCTGGGCTGTGGGAAGATGGGGACCTCACAAGGGAGGCCTAGGAGGGTCAAGGCCATAATGCCTTTGGGATTGGGTCCTTCCCTTGACAATAAAATCTGCAAGTTGGTCTGCTTGAGAGTACACCCGAGGTGTGCCCCCCAGAGGAGTGTGAACCCACTCTAATGGCTCCCCACTCTGAGTTAAAACTGCAGAAATTAATGTGACACCTGCAAACAACCAAAGGGAAATGAGCTCAAAAATAGAATACCTCTTTAGAGAAACTTCATCCAGGGCTTTTTGGAACTGCAAAAATATTGCCCAATGGCTGTCTGTAATTGTAATAACTTCTTGGGGCATCCTGTCTTTTAGCAGGACAAATAAGGGCACAAGACTATCTTTAGGGAGAAACCCATGGCACCAGCCAATTGATTTCCCCTAAAAGACTCTGAAGTTGGATTAAGGTTAGAGAGGCTGGAATATCCAGCAAAGGCTAAAGGGGGCTGGCCTGAGTCAAGGTAAGGTGGGTCCTGAGCACCTTAAAGGAGCTATGTTTTGAATTTTATTAAGGGCTATGGTAAAAACCCCCTTTTTTAATATGGTGAGAACTTGGGCCAGAAGGCCCTCCAGGCAGATCGGGTCTTGGTGCCCCAGAATTATATCATCCATGGAGGCATAGGCAAGGGAGGTATCTGAACCCAGCACAGGCCCTAAAAGTGTGGCCAAGTATTGTTGGCAAAAGGCCAGGCTATTGGCCATTCCCTGTGGCAGCACTGTGCATTCAAACCTCCCATCAGGCTGGGAAAAATTAAGAGAAGGTATGGAGAAAGCAAACTTCTCCCAGTCATCTGGATGTAGGAGGATAGAAAAAAAAGCAATCTTTAATATCAATCACAACCAAGGTATATTCTGAAGGTATAGCGGGAGTCAAGAGCATGCCTCTTAGGGGCGCTCCTACTAGCTCCATCCTTTCATTTACCTTAAGTATATCTTGGAGTATACGCCAAGCCCCGGAGGCTTTTTGAGTAACAATACGGGTGTGTTCCAAGGACTCATAGAAGGGGATGTGTGCCCAAGGTTTATCTGTTCCTCCACCAGAAGGTGGAGAGCTACAAGTTTAGGTTTGGTCAATGGCCACTGCTCCGCCCAGATTGGGCTTCTTGGCTTCCACCTAATGGGAGGTAATCAGGGGGCAGTGGCCTTTAGGATTGGGGGTGCACCTGAGCGGGTCCCCTATGCTCTTCTCTGTAATTATGAAAGTTAAAAAAAATCCTTTTCCTTAACTCCCTCTAGTTCCTGTTTAAGCCTTTGTACTTCTTCTCCATCCAGGATGGTCTGTAGTGACCACAGTGTCCATTTGTCTTAGCATGTCTTGCCCTAGTAAATAGGCAGTGAGGTTTTTTTTGCCACTAAAGGGCTTATCTTTCCATGTTTTCCAATTGAGCTAGTACATTTCATAATGGCAACCATATCTTTGGACTGGGAGTTGCCCCCTACCGCCAATATCGGGGGCCCAGGTGCAAACTTCCAGTCCAAAGGCACTTCCTACTCCCTAAGAATGGTTCGATCTGCCCCCCATGTCAATTAAGCAGTGAAACCTCTTTCCGCCTATGAGAATACTCATTTTAGCGTGGAGTCCTTCCACCAGGGGGAAGGTCCAATGGGCCTGGGTTGCCCTGCCAGGAGGCTGCCTGGGCCTCACAGCAGAGGGGGTTCCTCCTTGAGTTAACGGGGCTAGAGGATGCCCCTCCCCTAGTTTATTTTTTTTGGGGGGGTCCAGTCTTGGGGCCTGAACTCTGGGCCTGGGCGCTGTCCCTCAGCTCTTCAGCTCAAGGCTAGTGCCCTACCACTTGAGCCACAGCGCCACTTCCGACTTTTTTCTTTTTTCTTATGTGGTGCTGAGGAATCGAACCCAGGGCCTCAGGCATGCAAGGCAAGCACTCTTACCACTGAGCCACCTTCCCAGCCCCCCTCCCCTAGTTTAAAGGCTTCCCATCTAAATCAAACTTGGATCCACAATCCTTTTTCCAATGGTATCCCTGTGTGCACTTGGGGCAGGGTGTAGGGGGCCCGTTTGGCCCCCCTGGGCTGGTTGGTGGGGGATAGTTGTAAACAGTCCCTCTTAAAGTGCCCCTCCTGCCCGCATTTAAAACAAGTCCCTCTCCCCGATGGTCTTGGGGTTCCTCCGCCCTGGGCTGCCAGTGCCTGGGTAATAGCCTCAGTTATTGCAGATGTCTGAGACTGTAAAGCTAAAGCTAATTATTGGGACTGGTACTGTTGCGTTCCCACATCCTGCGAGGCCACCACCCATCTGCCCAGGGAACTCTCTCTCAATCCCTTGCAGGCCATGTGGTGGTTTGCATTCATCCCTTCCCAGACCAGCAGCTTTACAAACTGATCTCGGAGGTTCCCTGCTGGCATCTTGCAGTGAACGCTCTGTTGGACTTGGTCCATAAAATCAGGTAGAGGCTCACCCAGTTTTTGTCTCACTGCTGCTATGGGGGACTCAGTAGGCCCATCATCCAGTTTGTAGCAGGTGGCAAGTCCTGCCTGCCTCACCTGGTCACGGTATGGGCCAGGTATGGCGGCCTGTTGGACGCCAGTGGAGTACCCTTCCCCCTGTCCCTGTTAACATGGCATAAGTAATAGGTATCCAGGGTTGAGCCTGCTGGTTATTCTCGGCTCTGACTCTGCATTCCTCCTTAAAGAAAGCACACCATTTAATAAACTGAGAACTAGTAAGGATGGAATTGGCCACATCCAGCCAGTCCTTTGGGTCATATGGGTGATAAGCAATGTCCTATAACAGGGTCTGGGCCCAGGGAGAGTTTGGGCCATCCTCTGTCACCGCCTTGCAGAGCTCTTTAAGATCCTTAGCTTCCCATGAATACCATTCCAAGGGCCTGTTAGCCCCTGCTGCCAGATTGACCAGATACACTTGGGGAAGCGAATCCTGTGGTCTAGAGTCCAGGCTCTCAGGAGGCCCTTCCCTTCCAGGATAGGTCTCTAAGTAGGTTACTTCCCCAGCCCTCGGCCCCTCCATGGAAGGTTGGTAGGGGTCTGGGTCTTGAAAGTCCCTCTCTCAGGTATGGTAGGGTGCCCTACCTCTCCTCCAATCGGGGGAATAGGCAGGGGCCCTAGGACCATCAGGAGCACCTGAGTCAGAGGGAGTCATTTTCACCCTCGTTTTGACTTCCACTGTGCATGTTTCAGTGTGTTCTCAGTCCAATTTGACCCGTTCCTTTTCCTTCTCACTTCCCAAGTCCTCCTGTACTCCTTCTAGGCCTACTGTTGCCTCCTCCTCCTTCTTCTGTGAGATAGCATTACCCATACTAAGGGTTTCACTTACCCTGAGAGACTGCTTAGCCTCGGCCGGTATCTTTTCCCTTCATGCCCCACGTTGGGCGCCAGATGTTGGGTCTTCATCCGTCTCACGAAAAGATGGACGGGGTCCAAGGAAAGGTAAGTGTGGCGCTGGCCCGTTCCCCAGCCTCCCTCAGCCTGGGAGACAATAAGACTCAGCTGGAAGTCAAGTGAAGCAGGTAGAAAACTCATTTATTAACAGAGAACAGGCCCTTTTTAAAGCCAAACAGGAGCAGGTGGCTTGGCAGGGGAGGAAGAGAAACCAATCACTGTCAAGGTCACACCCTATCATGCACCTAAGCTTCCAGGGACTGGTTATGCACTCAACTTAAGGCAAATTGGGCTCTTCTCACTCTACTCTCTCTCAACACCATCTTTGCTGCACATGTGCTCTGCAGTAAATCGGGCTCTGCCCATTCAGCTCCCTCTCAGCGCCATCTTTGCTGCCCATGTGCTCTGCAAGTTCTGCCGCCATGTTTGCCTTGATGGCTTGGCCACTCCACTTTCACCACTATTTTTTTTTTTTTTGGTCAGTTGTGGGGCTTGAACTCTGGGCCTGGGCATTATCCCTCAGCTCTTCAGCTCAAGACAAGAATTCTACCTCTTGATCTACAGCACCACTTCTGGTTTTCCAGTTGTGAATTGGAGATAATTGTCTCACAGACTTTCCTGCATCAGCTGGCTTTGAATAATGATCCTCAGATATCAGCCTCCTGAGTAGCTAGGATTATAAGCATCAGTCACCGGTGCCTGACTACAGGCACCAATTTTTTTCATATTACCCCCTCAATCACTGTATTAACAATGAAAATCAAAAGTAGGCAAAGAAAATCACTCTTTATTTGGGCCTTATATTGTAATAACAAGGAAAAGCAAAGAGGATTTCTCATGATGTGCACAAAGTAAGCCACACAGCCTGCTGACACAGTAAGAAACAGGACTTGCCAAGAGTCTACACCAATCATTGAATTCCTTCATGCAAATGAAGGGTTTTGTTTGCACCAATCACAAGTCTTCTGCTGGGCCACTAGGATAATGAGGTGTTCCCTGCCTAGTCTGGGTGAGAGTGACCATAGGGTCTTCTAGAGTTCACAAGGCTAGTGGTGGCAAAAGTCCAATACAAGCTACTTGCTGGTCAGTGTATTCTGGCACCACAGTCATGATTTGGGGACACATTTGTGACTACTCATTCTTTGCTCAAGCCAGTCAGGCTCCAGCTCCTTTAACCGCTGTTAAAATGTTTAACATTAGTCAAGTTTATTTCCCAACATTATCAATCCATTTAAAGGCAGAAAATAAACAATGTAAAAGACATTACAATCAAGACTTACTGGTACCAACAATGAGTGCTTTGACTATGTATGGCTGTGATCTAAGAATGCTGAGCTCCTGCCCCATGCCTCCATGGATGGCTATCATCTGTTTTGGGCTAGGGCTGCAGGGGTCCAGCTGTTTCCCAGAGTCCCAGGCAGGGACAAAATGGACTTCTCACTATCCTTTCAAAGCTCTACTTATTGCCCCATGTGGCCACCTTTGTATACAAAGGTGTTGGGAGAAAGCGGCTGCTCTTCATGTAGGCAGAGATTTTCTTCAAGCCCTGAGTGGAAAAGAGAAAGCAGAGGCTCAGGATATGTGGAGATCCACAGAGGGAAAGCAACTTCCTCTTATTCATGCAGATAGTGAGAAGGAAAGGGCTGTCTGTCAGTCTGTCCTCTGTGGACATGCCCTTTCTGCCCTCACACAGGAGGCGCTTGTCTGCACAGACATGCTCTTCTTTCCCAGGGAAGCTCCTGTTTGCCTGGATTTGCACACAAGGGAGCGACCAGGAAGAACAAAGGAGCTGAGAATTTGCCATGCTGTTTGGCATAGAGCCCAGGCCTTACCCAGCAACTCAGTAAACCTTGGGTAAAAGTGTAGAAGATGGAGGAAGAGGGCATCAGTGGCTCACACCTTATAATCTTAGTTACTTAGGAGGCTGAGATCTGAGGATCGTGGTTTGAAGTCAGTACAGGCAGAGCAATCTTTGGGATTCTTATCTTACCTCCATTTAATCAGCAAAAAAAAAAAAAAAAGCTAAAATTGAAGATGTGGCTCAAGTAGTAGAGTGCTAGCCTTGAGCAAAATGAAAAAAAGGAAAGAGAAAAAGCCAAGGAAGGGCATGAGGCCCTGAGTTTCAGCCACACACGCACACTCACACACACACACCGACGGAGGAGGACCCATAAGGAAAGGTAGAGCAAGTCCTAATCAATCCTCTAAGAGCATAAAGTGCAATTTTCTCCACTTGTACCCCACCCAACTGCCAGACCTGATACAGAGACTAAGCTAAATGATATTCCATTGTATTATGGGACTTATTACCAAGGTTCAGTTCCTGGGCAATTTCTAAAGGGTTCAGTGTAATCTAGGGTTGCCTGTATCAATGGATCAAGTCCACACTAGCCTCAGGCAGCAGCCTCAGCCCTCCCAGCCCCTCCCCCTCTCATCCCTCCCATCCCTCCCATCCCTCCCATCTCAGAGTTGAGCCAGCTCTTGCACAATCCCCAAGGCCACATAATCTGGACCAGAACCAGAACTGATGAGAACTTGCTGCAAAAGCACAACACTTTATGAGGAAGAGGAAACAACAAATTCTAGTCTAAATAATTCACACGATGCCTCCAACTTCCAAATCTCCTAAAGTAGGTTTTATGGGTTTCAAATTAAGGACTCTAGTTGCCCCAGGCCTTGATGTGAGGTGAGATCAAGGCTGGGCTCCCCAGAGCCCAAGTAGGGCACCTCACAGTCTGGAATTCCAACTATTCCATGCTTTACTCAGTGCCAAGATGGGGGAAGGGGTATCTCTCTGTATTGTACCCGCCTACAGGGAACCTCATAGAGAAAAGGTCAGAAAACATGAGTAAAAATAAGTTCATAGATTAATTCACATGTGAACCATCTGGCACATTCAAGGGAAGAAGAAAAAAACAAAGGAAGAAGGTGGAAGGAAAGGCCCACACCATAGAATACTTCTATCCTAGGCCTCTCCAAATCCAGCACCAGCTACTGATCTGACTGGATTGAGCAAAGCCTCCTGCAGATCAGGTGTGAATACTGTCTGAATCTTGGGGATTCACATTAATCCCTCACCTCACTTTCCTAATACCTGTTGAATAGACTCTGCTGACTCTGCCCAAGGTCCTGGGCAGTAAACCTGAAGATTTTTCCTTTAGCACAAAAGCTGGAAAGCTACTAAACTGCTGCCCTTAGAAGTCAGAGGACCACAAGGATCCCAGAGCAACCTCCCCAGCACTGAGATCTTGAACAAGTGACTCACCCCCTACACTCCCAAGTTCCTAATCCGTCCAGTGGGACAGATTGCTCTCTCTGTAGGAAAGCCAGCCCAATAGATGCAAGTTGCTAACTACAGGCCCTAGTTGCTCTTCATTCAGCTCTAGGCCTAGAAAAACATCCTGAAAAGAAGAAGGAGGTCATAGCCTGGAAAAGGAGGATGAGAGGTATCACCTCAAAGCGAGAAATGAAGTCCTTCAGGTTTGGAAATGTGTCCAAGCATTTGGGGTCAAATATACGGTGCAAGTCAAGGATATCATAAGCCAGGAAATCCACAAAGGTGATCTGCAAAACAGCCAAGGATAAAGGAGCATGAAATTCTTTTTTTCTTTTTTTTCCTTTCTTTCTTTCTTTCCTTCTTTCTTTCTTTCTCTCTTTCTTTCTTTTTTGTCAGTCGTGGGTGGGCTTGAACTCTGGGCCTGGGTGCTGTCCCTCAGCTCTTCAGCTCAAGGCAAGTGCTGTTAATACTTGATCCACAGCATCACTTCCAGTTTTCTATGGTTTATTGGAGATAAGAATCTCAGGATTTTCCTGCCCAGGCTGGCTTTGAACGACAATCCTCAGATCTCAGCCTCCTCAGTAGCTAGGATTACAGGTGTGAGCCACGGGCTCTTGGCTTGTGAGCATGAAGTTCCATACACTTGAAAGAACGAATTCTCATTCCTTCCCTTTTTTGTGTGTGTGTGCCAGTTCTGGGCATTGTTCCTGAGCTTCTTTTTGTTCAAGGCAAATATACTTTATTTTTAACAGTTTATTGGAAGTAAGAGGCTCAGGTCCTTTCCTGCCCAGGCTGGCTTCAAACTATGATGTTCACATCTCAGATTCCTGAGTAGCTAGGATTACAGATGTGAACAACTGGTACCCAGCTTGATTCCCTGCCTTTTACCTTGTCACCAACAAACCATGGCTGCTTCCCCAGGAACTCTGAGAAGAGCTTCATCATTCCAGGGAGTTGCTCCAAGTACTCTAGCTTCAGTTTCTCCTGAGACAGAAAACAGCTGTCACTACCCTCACCCACAAATTCCCTGACAGAGTGACCAGTCTCCACAGTGTTGGGCATAGCCCCAATCAGCAGCCATCTTCCCTCAGATGGAGACTAGGTCGGTGTTCAGTCTTTAATTGACTACTTCTGGATACTTCACCCAGTCCTTGAAAGGCAATAAAAAGTCAGACAGGAATGGGACACTTCTCTTAAGGAAACATTACAACTCCTGATAGTCAAACAACCTCCTGTGTTTCTACCCAAGGAGTGCTCTGACTACCTGGCAGATCTAGGCTATGATGCCAGGCAGAATCAAAGATGCAAGAACCAAAAGTACCAGTAGAGAAGATGATAGCTCTACCTAGTAAGTTTCAAAAGCATGAAATAAACATCTAAGTCTTTCTCATAAAGCAAAAAATGAAGCTGAAAAAGAGGAGCAGAGGTCTTCTGGCTGCCCCTATTAGGAAAAGTAATTGATTCATGCTGATGTGAAGGGGACAGCACTAGGAAACATTTTGGCAGAGGCCAGAACTCAAGACTTCCATGACAATTCTGCTTGTGGACTTCCCTTTCTCCTCAGTGAGTGTGTTTATATCATGAGCAGGTACATGGAATGAACTTGTTGGAAAAAGAGCCAGGGCAGAGGGCAAAAGTGGAGAGAATTCTGAAACTCTAACACATTCTAGCACTGAATATCCATCTTGGAGAATCTAGACTGCACTCAGGTTGGTAGGGACTGAATCAGAACGTTCAGTTAATACAGTCCGGTGAGGGACACAGGTGGCAACACAGGAAACATCCTCAAAGATAAGCAGTTCTAATGAGTTCAAAAGTGAAAGAGGACCAGCAGAGATGGGAATTTAAAAGATTTGACTCTTGATCCAAACCCTGCCTGACACAGCCCATGGCAGAGGAGGACAGGGACAGGGAGTGGGTAGCAATATATGACTCACAAAGTCTGGGCTGTAGCAGACTCTGGCTAGCTGATTGGAGACATCCATAGCCTGGTTCTCCAAAATGTCCACTCGAATCTTCTCCTCCTCTGTCTCCCCACCTGCAGCCACACAACTCAGTTGCATCCTCTCCATCCCACCCCAAACAAGCCCAAGGGATGACCACTGCCTGTCCCACACACGCCCTGCAGCCAGCCCCACTCACACAGGTTGTGCTTGCGGGCAATGTAGCGCAGGATGGCATTGCTCTGGGTGATCTTGTGAGCTCCATCAATCAAGTAGGGCAGCTGGATGGACAAGCAGGGAAGGTCACAAGGGGCCCCAGGTCCCAGCAGCCCTTCTCTGGGTTAGACAGACACAGAACCTAGCATTCAGTGTGCTTGGCACTGGTGAGCCCCACATAAACACACTTCAGAATGAATGCAAGAGTCAAGACATAGAGCGTCATAGAAAACCACAGATAGCCAGAAAGGAAAGGAGTAGAGCAGAAGCACTGATCCTAGAAGCTCTCAGCTGGGCAAGGAAAGGGGAGGGGGGGGGGGGAGGAGGGAGGGAGGCTACATTTCCCTAGACCACTCCTTCCCCTGCACCTACATTGGGGAAGTCCAGGCCCAGCTTGAACTTCTCATTCAGCCACTGGCTTCTGTCATAGTCAGGAGCTGTGGTAGATGAGATCAAGTGAAAACAAACCTCCCTGAGTCCAGCCCTCCTTCCCCAGGACCCCCTGAGGCAGTGGATCTGCACTCTGACCAGCTGTGTCCCACATTCCAAGGCTACAGGGGTGAAGAATGCTGGTAAGGCTGAGGGATCTAAGGACCAGAGCACAAAAGGTTTAGGCCAGTGCTAGACAACCCCACCCAACTTCAGATAAAGGGGGGGTCCCTGGCCCTCCACTCCCAGCTCCTTGTAATGGAAATCCAAAGTGCACCCTTTTAGGATTTGGGAAGGAGCAGGCCCTGGGTGTGGTTGGAGGCCTGCAGAGCTGGGAACAGGTGACCACAGTATGAGTGGCTGGGCACCCCAATGGGCAAGAATTGGTCACAAGTCTGACCAGGAGGTGTCATTACCGTCCCCCATCGTGTATCTCTTCTCCTCATAGCTTGTGTCTGTGTATTCCAGGAGCAGGCGGATGGCGTGGGCCAGCTGGGAAAGTTGGCAGGTGAGAGAGATCAGAAATGGGGGATCCTGTCTGTGACTTCACCTCCTCCAGGTGAGCCCAGTCTAACAATACTTTCCACATGCATGCACACACTATGCGTGCATACACAGAAAGAAAGAGGTCACATGTGTGTGCCCTCTGGTAAGGCTTAGGCAGAAGACTCCAGCAAGTTCTGAGGAAGATCCCCATGCTAGAACCGCCTCCCCCAGCTGGAGTCAGCTTCTCCCCATTCCTCGGCCCCTCCCACCCGTTAGTCGGTCGCTCACCCCGCGGATGTCCCAGTAACCAAGTGTCATGGGCATGGTGCTGATATTATGGACCGAGCCACACTGGCCTCGGCCGACTTGGACTGTGACTTTACCCAGTGTCCAGTGGGGGTAGGCGGGGCTTCTGGCCCCGCCCCATGCCTCCCTGGCCCCGCCCCGCCCCCATGCTTCCCCTTGCCCCCACTGCTCCTCCCAAAGCTTCAAACCGGAAGGCCGGAAGTAGTTTTTGCCCCCCCCCCCCCCCCCCCCCGCCTGCGGCTACGGAAGGAGTAAGAACGGAATCCGCTTCAGGCCCGCCCCACCCGACGGGCCGCGGCCACCGGAAGTGGGCGGGTGCGGGAGGCTTGCGCGTCGGGTAGGCGCGGCTGCGCTCTCACTCTGGGCCCGAGTCGCTGAACCCTGGAGTCGGTGTCCGACGCGGGAAGCCCGGGCGTTCCCGGAGGTCCCGCGCCGTCCCCCGGTCTGCAAAGGCTCTGCCGATGCGCGTGGCTCCGCAGGTGTTTCTGGGCCCAGTGGAATGCAGGCCGGGCGTCGGTGTTCCTCGGCCAGGACCCGGCCTGGGTCCTGTGCTGGGTCCTCTATTAGGAAGCAGCCTGAAAGTGAATTCTTGTGTAGAAGCATTCCCACCAGGCAGTACTAACGCGCTCCCGAAGGGCCTGGCCCGTGAGCAAGCATGTGTCATCCCAGGGAGTGAGCCACTTGGAGCTGGGAACTTGCAGAGTACGTGCACACACCTGGCAGGTACTGCTGAGCAGCCCTGCCTCTCGAAGCAATCAAGAGGGGGGTAAGGATGACCTGTGCGGGGCTACTGCCAATATAGCATGGCATACTGCTTTACTTTCTCTGGTTATTGGGTAGAGTGTAGTTGAGCTCTCCTCTTTCCTTGCTTTCTCTTCTGTCTGCTGCCCCACTCATTATGATTGTAGAACCGCCTAATTCTCCCCTCAAGTCTGCCGTATTTTCTGTATTCATCTGGGTTTACTCCCATTGTAGCCCTTACGAAAAGGAATCGGAGGAGCCTGGTTCTGGTGGCTCACGCCTGTAATCCTAGCTACTCAGGAGGCTGAGATCTGAGAATCACGGTTCAAAGCCAGCCCGGGCAGGAAAGTCCATGAAAGTCGTATCTCCAATAAACCACCGGTTTATTGTGCTAGCCTTGAGCTGAAGAACTCAGGGACAGCGTCCAGACCCAGAGTTCAAGTCCCACGACCGAAAAAGAAAAGAAAAGAGAAAAGGAATCAGAGGAACTTACCGGTGTTTGCCTCATCTTGGAGGGCGCTAGTTACACTTTTTAGCTAAACACGATTTCCTAATGGGACAGCAGTTTTAGCAATCTGGAAATCTCTAACAATTGGTTGGAATCAATCAGTTTAGCAGGTGCCAGTCTCACAAGAGAGAATATCTTCATGGAGCAAAAATTGCACTAATAATGCATACTTTTTTTTTTTTTTGGTCATGCTGGTACTGGTGTTTGAACTCACAGCCTTGAGATCTTCCTTGGCTTTTTTACTCAAGGCTTTCCACTTTACCACTTGAGCCACTAACAGCTCCACTTCTGGATTTTTGGTGGCTCATTGGAGGTAAGAGTCTCGTGGACAATCCTGCCTGGACTAACTTCGAAGTACTATCTTCAGATCTGTCTCCTGATTAGCTTGAACTGCAGTTGTGAGCCACTGGTGCCAGCTCATTTGTTATTCTGGAGCAAGTCACTTTTGTTTATTCTTTGAGTTATAAGAATTAAACAATTCCTCCAAGGCAGACTCAGCAAACAACTTTGTAAGCCGAAACTACCCCCAAATTAATCATAATTTGTTGATCTTGTTAACAGAATTGCAGTGACCACTGGAGCATTAAGTTTTTTCAAGACAAAAGGTTCGGATTAATGAGGTGAAAGAAAGGACTACCGTAAGAATCCTGTTAAAGAGAAGTGGCCTTCTAAAGTTTTTGAAAAAACAGCTATTAAATGTTTGTTGACAAGATCAAGTGAAGGCCATGGATCTAGCAATCCGTAGATTCAAAACATAACAATAATAGTGTATATAAAACATACAAGAAACATACAGTAGAACCTCACTTGTACAACTAATGTGTGTTAATTTTTAAAAGAAAGAACCAGGCACTGGGATTCAGCCTGTAATTCACTTAGGAGGCTAAGATCTGAAGATCTGAGTTCAAAGACAGTGATTGCAATTCTAAGCCAGACCAAGCAGGAAAGCCCCTGAGACTCTTCTCTTATTTCAAATAATCAGCAAAAAAGCTGAAAGTGGAGTTGTAGCTCAGGCAGTAGAGCACCAGACTTTAGAAAACAAAAAAGCTAAGGGAGAGCACAAGGTTCTGAATTCAAGCCCTAGTACTCTACAATATCTTCCCCACCATTTCTCTCTCTTTCTCTCTCTCTCTCTCACACACAAAGTGTGGATTTTTGTTTTTTAATCTTAAATGATAGAGAATAGAGGGAATCAGAATGTATTAAGATCAGGGAAGTAGGGGGGCTCTGGTGACTCATGCCTGTAATCCTAGCTATTCAGGAGGATTGTGGTTCAGCCTGGGCAGAAAAGTCCATGAGATGCTTACCTCCAATAAACTACTCAAAAAAGCCAGAAATGGAGCTGTGGCTCAACTGGTAGAGCACTCACCTTGAGCAAAAGAAACTCAGAAACAGTGCCCAGACCCAGAGTTCAAGCCCCAGGACTGGCAAAAAAAAAAAAAAAGGAGTCAGGGAACTAATACTTTAGAAATCTTCAAAGTAAATAAAAACAAGGAATGGTAGGCAGAAAGAATATGGAATCTGAATGTTAATCTTTATCAAAAGTCTGGGGCAAAAGCTAACCACATAGAATATCAGCATCTTGGGGCTAGGAAGGTGGCTCAGTGGTGGAGTGCTTGCCTTGCATGCATGAGGCCCTGGGTTCAGTTTCTCAGTACCACATAAACAGAAAAAGATGGAAGTGGCTCAAGTGGTAGAACACTTGCCTTGAGCTGAAGAGCTGAGTGACCGTGCCCAGGCCCAGAGTTCAAGCCCCATGACTGACATAAATCAATCAATCAATCAATCAGCATCTTCTGGAAAATTCCTAACAATATCACTTTAAGGTTTCCAATGTATGGAGGCCCAGTGTTTTAGGAGAGTTTATATCTTTCAGGCTGAATAATAATAGCACAGTCAATCCTTAGGATCAACACTTTGGACTTTGAATGCTGTCAGTTATTAACAGTATTGGATAACACTCTCCCCACTGGCTTCAAGGGCAGTTTTTCTTTTTTATCCAGAACACTGAATCACCTCCTGTTAAGTCATAGGTGGGTAGCAATGTCACTAACAGCTTTTGATTATAGAGCTGGAGGTGTCAGGTGCCAGTGGCTCATACCTATAATCCTAGCTACTCAAGAGGCTGAAATCTGAGGCCAAACTGGGAAGAAAAGTCTGTGAGATTCTTATCTCCAATTACCCACCAGAAAGCCAGAACAGAAGGGGAGTTGTGGCTCAATGATAGAGTGCCAGCTTCAGGAAAAAAAAAAAAAAGCCGAGAGAGCACAAAGCCATTTGGAAGTTAAAACGGCCTTCCGGACCTTGGTTCTTGTTCATATGCCATATTTAGAGTTATTACAAGTGCACTGTTGGCAGAGAGACATGGTTTAAAAACATCACTGGTAATACCTATACAATACTAGTGTTGTTAATATTGTTGCTAATTTATCCCTGCTATTAACACCCTGAAACATTTTTGTTCAACTCTATTGTAAATAACTTAAGATTATGAGTCAGCTGCCCTAGCCATGCAAGGAGCATCCAGAATTTTCCACCTTCGAAAATTTTCCACTTTCCTGCTTTTTGCAATCAAAGGCTTGTCTGTGATAGTTAAAAATAGCTTTCTTGAATTTTTTCCCGTCTTTCTTTTCTGGGTGATTATAGGAGCAATTAGCTTGGTTAATCCTGCTTTATTTATCATGGCAATAAAAGCAGTAATCTGAGGCTCTGGATGTTTATGCTTGAATAATGTTCTTTCTTATTTTATTACAACTATTTCCTTAGGTAATAGCAAAACACCTGCAAGGTTTATTTTAACTTATTTAGTCCTTACAGGTTTTTTTTTTTTTTTTTTTTGTCCAGGTTAGAAACTCATTTCCAAAATGCTCTAAATTCGTAGTCTATCACAAAGATACATTTACAATGAATATATACACACACACTTCTTACCAGCTGGTAGAGCCAGGTGAGAACAATTGTTTTAGTTTTCATTTTGGTTTATATTTTAAGGGTGAATTTAGATTGTGAGAACATATTTATAAATATTTGTAGAAAAATATGATTAAATAGAAATATATTTAAATATATATGGGGAGGGGTAGGTCGTAGGGCTTGAACTCTGGGCCTGGGAGCTGTCCCTGTGCTCTTCAGCTCAAAGCAAGCACTCTACTGCTTGAGCCACATCACCACTTCCGGTTTGCTAGTGGTTTATTGGAGATAAAATCTCATGGACTTCACTGCCTTGGCTGGCTTTGGATCACAATCCTCAGATCTCAGCCTCCTAAATAGCTAGGATTATAGGTGTGAGCCAACGGTGCCTGGCTTATTTGTATTATTTTTATTTATTACATTTATTCATATTCATAAATATGCAAAATAAAGTCCAAACTGTAGTTTATTTGCTTATATGAAAATGGAACACTGATAACTGCTGAAATTTAAACAGGGGGAAAAGGATATCTTGTTTACATGTGTGGAAATGTCACATTAAACATCTCCCCCTTGTATAACTAATGTATGTTAAATTAAAAAATTAGGTCAGCACAGTCTGGGGAATTTCTGGCCAAATGGTTTAAAAACACAGAGTGCATAAAAAACACAGTTAACAGAATGATTTAGTGAGAAAAAGAATTCTACTAACTTAGTTGTAAAGTAACTGAGTCATTTCACATGCAAAGGTCAGGGTCAGATCTTTTGGGTAGACTCAGCACCTGGCCTTTGTGAATGGCCTTGGTACTATGCAAAGGACACACGGCCTGCTGGGTGGGCAACCCTGTACCCCATACTTTCTGCCTGCCTCATTAGCATAATGTGAAGTTTACAGTGTTATGACTGTAAGCACA